ACCGCAACAACGCGCGCGTACGCGAGAATCTATAATTCCATTAACGCGGACACGGACAATAGTATTTCATTAACGGGACGTGGAAAGTGACAGCAACGTGGACAAGTCAATCCTGATCGGGGCAGTTTCTGTCGAATTTCACTTAACCTTCACTTCTCACATTTTTTATTTAATGGCTACGTGAAGGTTTTCTGGTTTCAAACTTATAACATATACGTACTATGGCTCTGGGGCATCATACACACGGCCTCATAGGTTGTTAATCCTCACGGCGGATGTTGAGTTATATTTTGAGATATTCTTGTAAATATCATTTGAGTTATCATGATTTTGTAAGGGTAATAGCATTTTATACGTCTTGTAGGTCTTATACACGCGGCCTCACTGTTAGTTAAGTCTCAGGTTATGAATACTGGTTATTTCTTTAAATACTATTATTACTTTTGTGGATATATGACTTCAGTTTAGTAATTTGTGTCCCTAATTTCATCATGAAAGCTCAGTTACATGCATTTCAGGAAGTTGGACAATGATACACACGGCTTCATTGTTTAATAATTGAGCATCACACGAATGTTGAGTTCTTTAAACGTTAAGTTATTTCGTTAAATATTATTATTACTTCCATGGATATATGACTTCAGTTTAGTAACCAATGTGTCTAATTTTATAATGGAAGCTCATTTACATGCATTTCAGAAGGTTGAAGCACGATAGACACGGCCTCACTGTTTAAGAGTAGAGCGTCACAGGAATGCTGAATTTTTTAAGTATTAGTGTATTTATTTAAATATTATTATTATTTTCATGCGCAGATACCTTCAGTTTAATAATTTAAGTACCTAATTTTGTAATGGAATCCTTGCTATATACATTTTGTGAATTTGAGTTACGTTAAATTCGGCCTCATAAATAATCTTCATACAGTGATCGCTGCAATTTCTTTTATATTCTTGCAGAATTTTTATAAACTATTTCTGCCATCGAAAACAAAAGCTAGAAAATAAAAAATAACTAAATAATTCAACCAAATTACAATTTACCGTTTACCCTTGATTTTTATGCAATTTACATAATTTTAAATAAAAATTTCTCATAATTGAAATATTATACATACATATAAAAATAATTAGCTAACCACGTAACCTAACTACGTAAATATATACGAGAATTGAAATAAAAAATAAAAATTACAGGAAGAAACAGCAAGGGAACGATCTGATCAGTAATGAATTAGTTTGATGCTTCCGATAGCGTCCATCAACAGTAGGTGCATTATGAACCTAGTTACAAAGGGCTGTCCTTGTTGTGCAATGACGGTAGCTCCTTTTAATAATACGCTGCATTACAGTGGTCCCCTTTCACCGAGGACACTGCAAAAAAAAAATTACTTGAAAACTCGTCGAGTGGGGTTCGGGAGGGAGTCGCAAACTCGATGCATTACACGCAGACCATAATTAAATGTCGAGCAACTCATCACTGATGGACACGCCTAATTTCATTGCCTGCCATAACTTCATTAATAATTTACCTCCCTTTCAGCTTGCCTCTGCTATCCTCTTTGCCGCCGTTAATTGTAGTTCAAAAGATTTTTCAGCATCGTTCGATAATGCTGCCGACCGGCCAGGATTCTGCTGTTCCGCATCAAAAATTCACTGAGCTGCGACGATTTTTCCATCGAACAAATCTCTACTATCATGACGTCTAGTATATGTCCACGTTCAGGATTCAATCAATAATTCTATTTCCAATAAATCTTGCAATATTATTCCTGGTCGGTTTTCAAATATTTAGCAAAATCGTTCACGATTTCCTGAATTGAGTCGTTTTGGCTGAAATAGAAGACGGAATTTTTAAATATTCAGCTTTCGTTCAGATATAGTTGTTACGTCAATCGATATATTTAGAACTATAGGTATAGTGTTTAAGAATAGGAGATGGCAATGGCGATTGAGGTTAGATGCATTTGGGTTCAGTCGAGCAAGGTTAGTTGGGGTTGGGGTTAATTACAGTTCAGATTATTCAGATTTAGGATTAGGGTATAATTAAATAAATTTAAATACAAGATTAGGTTATTAATATGTAATTTAAGATTAGGTTAGGATAAATGAGTTAATGTTTCACTCAAATTTTTGTTATAAATTAACTGATCTTCTGCTGAAGTAAAAACCTCATTTTCATTGTAACATTGCCCAACAGCGAAGGTTATAAGAAGATGACAGCCATTTTGGATTAATAATATTGGTAAAATATTGACATGACAATTTTTGGCACACTATAAACTTTAAATTGATGTGCCATAAGTAGCATATCACGATATCTTAATTGCCATAAAATCGTGTCAGTTACCTAGTAAAATATATTTCGCAATTTATAACAGATACACTGCTTTGAGGCAGTTAGCTAACCATTTTCCATTTAGGATATCGTTAAATGGTTTATGTAGTCTTTCTCGTGATACTTTAAGCTTTAAATTCATGTATCATAAGTGCCATTTCATAACCTTTTTTTGTCACAAAATGCTCTCAGACGTCAGCCATCAGAATTAAGTACACTTCATTATTTACTGTAGGTGTACATTGTCTTGAGGCCATTAATCATGTTATATTAAGAATATTAACAAGGTGCTTATGTACCCTTTTTCTTCAATCTTTATGCTTTGTTTTTATCTGTTGCAAGTACAATTTCCTTACACTTTTCTGTCATGAAATCATAGTACAATCTCAGTGTTTCTAACTCATCAAAGTTGTTGAAGTTGCACTATTAAATAAGCTGGGGATGTACGAATTTAAATTGAAATTGTTGAAACACAAGGATATTTCTAATACATTTTAGATACTTAGGGATAGTTACATACAGAGTTAATTACCGTTGGATTTAGGTTAGGTTAGATATTAACCTCAAATATGAGCAAAACGTAAAAATATCAAGTTACACATATGATCGTCACACATATGATAGAAATCGTATATGTAATTTTAGAGTGCAAAAACTCTATTTCTATTAAGTGTTATATTATAAACAAAGGTCATAGAATTTTAAAAAGTTAGATGACGTTAAATAGGACTACAAAGTTTGATGGAAAATATTGTTACACCAAAATTTTAAATATAACCAGCTTAATATTCAGAACGAAAACGTCGACGAACACGTATCTAATCTACTTCGTAAAAATTTAATTACAAGATCCATAAATTCAGCCCATCAGACTCTTTAGGTGCACGCGTCCTTGGGGCGCAGTCCCAGTGCCCTACTAACCGCCGTTGAACCGGCCTCAAAAGCTAATTACAGCGAACCTTACAAAAATAGTGCAAGTAAGACGATCCACCAATTAAAAACAAATTGAGAAGCACTGTGCGGCTTTTACAGCCATTAGAAGCCTTCTTTCCTGTTCGTTCGTCGCTCAGCAACATCTGTTCTGTTTCTGGACATCCTCCCGACGATGACATCTCGCGGTCACCCGTGGGATCGATTAGTCTTCTCTTTTAGCCTCGCACAAAAACGCCGGTGAAATCTCGTTGGAGATCTGTCGGGGTTCATCTCGACCGAAAGAAACTCGATGACGTAATAGCGTAGGAACCAGAAAAGAATATTCGTCCATTCGGGATGTATCCCCAGGGTGAGGGAACGATCAGGAAGTCTCGTGTTTCTTCCATGTTTGTCCAAGTGCGCGTGACGTTGGAATTGTTTTGCCACCTTCGGTTGAAACCCTACGAACCTTGATGCAACAACGTGTTTCTGGCTCTTTGGTAAATGGACACCGAGCTGCTCTCTTCCGATGCCACGATGGCCTGCATCTTTCGAGGGGGAGTCTCTTGTTACAGCTGCAAAGTGGCCAACACTTTATTGAACCTCAACATCGAGGAAATTCATTGCTATTCGTACGTTGTTGATGGCCCCTGTTACCTGGTTGATACGTAACTTTCGCTGTAAATTAGTTTCATTTTGATCTGTCTGTCTGCTGTGTACTGAGGGTTGGTGGATTTCTTAGGGAAATTAAGGATGTGGGGAGAGGAGTAATTGGATTTTATTTTAGTGAAGTTGCAAATTTGGAAGTTTTGAGATATGGGAATTTGGACAATTTTGGGGGATTTGGAAAATTTGGAAATTGAAGCATATGGGACTTGGAGAATTTGGGAATGAAAGAATATGAGAGTTTTTAAATTCGGGAATTTAAGGAATTTGGAAACTTCGGAGAATTCGGAGAATTTCGAAAATTTTGAAAGTTTGAAGAATTTTGAGAATTTGGAGAATTTAGAGAATTTAGAGAATTTAGAGAATTTAGAGAATTTAGAGAATTTAGAGAATTTAGAGAATTTGGAAAATTTGGAAAATTTGGAGGATTTGGAGAATTTAGAGAATTTAGAGAATTTGGAGAATTCGGAGAATTTTGAAAATTTTGAAAGTTTGGAGAATTTGGAGAATTTGGAGAATTTGGAGAATGTAGAGAATGTAGAGAATTTAGAGAATTTAGAGAATTTAGAGAATTTGGAAAATTTGGAGAATTTAGAGAATTTAGAGAATTTAGAGAATTTAGAGAATTTAGAGAATTTAGAGAATTTAGAGAATTTAGAGAATTTAGAGAATTTAGAGAATTTAGAGAATTTAGAGAATTTAGAGAATTTAGAGAATTTAGAGAATTTAGAGAATTTAGAGAATTTGGAAAATTTGGAGGATTTGGAGAATTTAAAGAATTTAGAGAATTTGGAGAATTTGGGGAATTTGGAGAATTTGGAAAATTTGGAAAATTTGGAAAATTTGGAGAGTTTGGAGAATTTTTAGAGTTTGAGTTATTTAGAGATCTAGAAATTCGAGCATTTACAAAACAAAAAATTTTGACCAATCTAACAATATAACAGTTTGAAATATTTTCCTCCAATTAGGTTAATTAATATAATTTAAAAATGAAAAAATTCATGAATTTAAAAATTAAGTAATTTCTTAAAAACCAGCAAGTTTGAGAATTGCGAGAATAAAGAATATCTGTTGATTGTTTCCAGGGAAGGGACGGCTCTACCCGGCCTATAGTTTGAGCGGCAGCGAGGGTGAGGAAAATTCGCCAAGTCTGCGAAGTCGCACTTCCGGCTACCCTCCGAACAATCACCAGACCACGCAGTCACATCTAAATCACTACAACGCCAGTCAGCATAAACAACGTGCATATCAACAACAACAACAGCATCCCTTGTATCATATGCCCAGCACTGGTGCTGGACTCAGTGACACACCGACTTCCGGAAACGCATCCGACGAAACACTCACCGACAGCGACCTAATCACTGTTGCCCGTGACTCTGCTCTGCTCGTTCATAACGGTAAGTAGCTGTTTCTACTAAATTTATGTCCATCCACCAGGTTGACGTATCATTTACGTTCATTATGAGAAACAAAATAACTAATGACATAAGAACAAAGAACTTTCATATTAAGAACCCAGTAAACTGATGTAGTTTTGTCTTAACATTCAATTTGATAGCTGTAAGGCATTGAAAGTGTGATACCGTGAGGTCACAATGTTATAATTTAGAAGTTATCATAATACTTGAACATTGTAGGATGAAGTTTTAGTGCCTCACCGCGGTAATGTAGGAGTTAACATGCATCAAAGCAGTAAATATAGGTGATGTCATTATGCTTTAAGTTTGTAATGTATAGTATATAGTGTTCCATTACCGCAATATGGGAATTAAAATGCTTCAAATCTATTATATCGCAAGTTACCATTAAGCTTTGAGGCCGTAGTATAAAAATCATAATGTCGTGCTATCATAATATAAAAGTTTACATGCCTCAAATTGAAACATAGGGGTTACTATTCGGCCTCAAGTTCAAAATATAGAGGTTAATATGCTTCGAAACGTATTATAGGAATTACTGCTATGCCTTATTTTCGGAATAAAGAAATTAATATGCCTCAAACAGTAACACAATGCTTACTGCCATGCCTTAAACAGTCACACAGAGCTTACTGTCATACCTCAACGCCGTAATGTAGAAGTTACGATGTCTTATTATCGTAATTTAGGGGTTATGATGCCTCAAGTTCATTGCATGAAGACAGTCATCATGCCTCAACAGTTGAATACATATGTTATGATGCTTTATAATTGATATATGGAGGAGTATAAGAGATATTTATGACGTCTTAACATTGTAATATAGAGTTCAAGGTGTGTCATATAAAGTTTACGATTCTCGAAAAATATTAAATACAGAGTAGAATGTCTCACAACTGTGATACAGGTTTCTTGATGCCACAACGACTTATTATCAAAGTTATATTTATGCTATAGCATTGTGGGGTACATGTTATCATATCTTATCATCGTAGTACAGAATTTAATATGCCTCATAATCGCAACAAAGAAAACACAATGCCTCAAAGTCGTAAGATTCAAATCCTCGAGATCAACATTTAAAACTAAAGTTTATTATGACTCAAAAGTTATTACGCGGCAGAACATCAATTTAGCTATTATTATATCCGTAAACGATAATCCAGAAGTTATTATGCCACAAGGGTATAATATAGAAGTTATTATGATGCCTTAACGCGAAGTAATAAGAGGTGAACTTCCCGAGTGATAATCTGGGCATAAAGTAGGGAAACGTTGCCGCGAAGTTGGTCATTCGCAATAACGTGAAATCGTGTCCCTACATTACTCAAACATGATGGATAGCCTTTCTCGAAATGAGGTGTGAGGCCACACACGGCAGGTTTGTCCGGAGACGGAGGTTATCGGCACACCGGCTTGTCAAGGATGACGTATCGCCGCGGAGGTGTACGCGGTGGTAGTTCAGAGCCGTCTATTGCAACCTGTGCGAGCATCTGAGCGCAGCGGTACCTGAAAACCCTCTCCCGGGTTCTTCGAGTATGCCGGACACTTGCTCGTGAAAGGTATTTATCATGTGAAAAGTGACATAGGACGAGTTAATCGAGTCACTTAGCCGCTTGAACTTGCGCGACAACTCTGTCCTCCGTGCGAGGAGTTTCGACCGCGGTATCCAACGAGCGAATAAGATGGCTACGGTCCATCAGAAGGAAATGGAGTTGTTTTAACGAAGATTGATAGCGAAAGGATGAAAACATTCGGGGAAGGCAATCTTTCTGATAAGATTCACGCGCGCAAGGCTGATGACGATGAACGCGGAGCGGTAGATCTTGATCGGACGTGATGGTGATGATGTAACGATGTTCTGTGGAAAGTTCCGTGATTTTCTTGAATTGCGTGTTCATTTAGTTCAAATAAATGTTATTATGACGTTCGGTTTGTTGGAGTTTTGATCAGAAAACACTGCCTCATGATTCAGATCTGGTTTGCGGGTTAATGGAGTTTGTTGAAGTTCTAAGCAAAATGTAATGCCTCGTAATTAAGTTCTGGGGTAATTTTAATGTTTGTGTTCACGGTGAATACTAAGGGAGTGAGTGGTTTGAAGTTATGAGCAAAACATAATGCCTCACAATGAAGGGTTCGATTAATTCCCAAATTTTGTACCGAGCTTAAGTTTGAATTTTAATTAGATATTAATATCAAATATTAATAAATCGAGTTTTTTGACGATCCACACATAAAGTAATGCCTCAAAATTAAGCTCTGAAATGATTTTAAAGTCTACGTGCAAAGTGGATATTAAGGGACTGAGTGCTTTGAAGTTATAAGCAAAAAATAATGCCTCACAATGAAGGGTTCGATTGATTCCTAAATTTGTACTGGGCTTAAGTTTGAATTTAAATAAGATGTAATGTTAAATATTAATAAATTGAGTTTTCTGAAGATCTAGACAAAGAGTAATGCCTCATAATTAGTGTATAAGGTAATTTTATAGTCTGTGTTTGGGTTGAGCTCAGTTGAGATAGTAATCCAGTGAGTGCGGTGGCATTATAGGCATGTAATAATGCCTTACAATACGGAACTCAGTTAATTTTGACGTCAGAATTTGGACTTGTATCTGGATAGATAATAATAGAGTACAAAACAGTCATAAAGTAAAGCCTCACAATTAGTATATGGACCACTTTTAAGGTGTACATTTAGGTTTATTTTTGTCACGTACTAATCGAGCAGATTTATTAATATTATTTGTCAAAAATTAGTGCCTCAAACTTAATAGCGAGTTTGATATAGTTACATGCTCAAAGTAGTGCCTCATGGTTCGAATATAAATTAGGCACTGATGGAATAACTTATTGAAGTTATCGACGAAAAGTTATGTGCCATAACTAACATCTGTGTTACATGTGGGATCTCAGCTTGAGGTCTAAATTACGTATTGACAAACTGTAGTTTTTATACAACGTTGCTTCACAAAACATTAATTTATATAAAGTGAAGAAGAAATGATGCTTCGACGATCACATTTAGGTTATGTATGAGGTCTGTGCATGTTCTCGGTCTATATTATTTATGCGCAGATTGAAATAACTAAAAGTTGATGTTTCAAAAGTAACATTTATGTTACGTACATGATTGCTGTACATCGATCTTCCATACTGACAAAGTGAAATTGCTAAACAATGATGCCTCACAACTAATATTCTCGTTATATCCGACATAAACCTAGCTGTAAATCCGAACTAGATACAAACAGACTAAAATTATCGAAGTTACGAGCAGAATCGACTGCCTCACCTCCATCCATTCGTCTTCGCACCCATAATCTATCACGACAAGGAGTTCCTACGAATGATCGAAGACGTTATCGTCAATCCACGGCAATTCGATACACACGGTGCTACCCTAAACTCTAGGATGACTCTTTGCTTTCCACTGTCATGCTAATCCCTTGCAGTGGGTAATTGCCGATTTATGCACGCGTAGACCAAACCCTACAAGCGTAATGCGTGCACAACGTGTGTCGAGGGTCGAAATTACTTTTCCGTGAAGAAACGAGCTCGCGTTTGATGGATGATGCCGATATACACGTCCACCTTCCCGTCGTCGTTTCGCCATAGAATGCGTGTTCGTCACGTCATAGAATAAAATCCACGAAGAGTCTCTTTATTCTCGCTGTCGTCTTTGCGGTTAGCCGAGAGTCATTGTGTGATTCAGCTGAAATCTTAATGGAGTATCGAGAACCGCGGGTAGAATGTCTATTATGAACTCGCCTGTTTCCCATTACGGTCAATAAAAAAAGGGGGGGAGATTCAAACCGCATTTTTTGCGCCGCGGAAGAGGGAGGCTCGAGGGAAAGAGCCGCCTTACAACGCTGACGCTCGTTTTAGCCCGCGATCCATTCCCCGCGACGAACATTTCCATTTAGATGCTCATCTCGCGGAAAAGATTTCACCGAGGATATATTACCGTAACGTTATGTCTCCTTTCGTTCGAGGAAACCGGAACGAGATGGTATCTTTGAAATAAACGATCACGGTTAAACGCTTTGCTTGCAATACGACCCATTAACGTGCATCCACGCTAATATCCTGCCTCTGATACTCCGGCGAGCTGATGGCAGACGTAAACAGGAACAAGATGTCTCGCTTTAATTGATTTCGAACAAACCTGGTCACATTGTGAACACTTGACGATCGTAATTTCACGCGGAGCACCTGCCATTTCTTCGAATGCACCGCTGAGTGCTGCATAATGTACTGTGCGGTTTAACGTACTTCAACCACTAGCGAATTTACCCCTTACGGTAATGATGATGAATTGATATGAATTGTAAAAAGTCGGGGATAAGGTTGCAATAATCGCGAATTTGCACGGTTTAGGGATTTAAGGACTTGACTTGGTGATTTGAGGAATTTGGACTTTGGAAGATTTTGGAAGTTCGACTGGAAATTTAAGAATTTTGGAATTTCAAGAGTTTATGAACTTGAAAATATGGGATTTGTGCACTTTGAAGACTTGGGAATTTTGAGACCTTGAAATTTGGGGATGAAGTAATTTAGGAATTTTGGGACATGAGAATTTGGGGACGTAGGAGTTTGAGGATATGAGAATTTGGGGATTTAGGAAATTGGGGACTTAAGAGTTTGGAGATATATGAATTTGAGGAATTCAAAGTTTGTGGGTCTAGCAATTTGGGGATCTGGGAATTTGAGGACGTGGAAGCTTGAGGCCTTAAGAATTTGAGGACGTCGGAGCTTGAGACCTTAAGAATTTGAGGACGTTGAAGCTTGAGGCCTTAAGAATTTGTGGACATCGAAGCTTGAGGCCTTAAGAATTTGAGGACGTAAGAGCTTGAGGCCTTAAGAATTTGAGGATTTATGATTTAAGGACTTTAAAATCTGTGGATGAAGCAATTTGGGGACCTCGGAATTTGGAAGTTTGAGAATTTGAACACCTAGAAGTTCAAGAACTAAATAATTTGAAGACC